CTACCGTCGTGGATAATATGACGGGTGTTGAGTACACGATTCGAACGCGGTACCTGTTTGGGGCCGACGGGGGTCGGAGCACGGTAGCCAAGATCCTTGATTTGCCGTTTACTACGATTCCCGGCGGGGGATACGCTGTCAATGTGTTACTGCGTGCCGATCTTGCGTATTTGATGGAGCACCGGCAGGGCAACTTGCACATCCTGTTGGGCTTCGAGAAGGACGATCCGTTTATCAGTGTAGCGCGCATGGTGAAGCCGTGGACGGAGTGGCTGTTTGTGTTTATGCCAAAGGGGCCGGATGCGCCGTTCCCGAAGAGGAGTAAGGGGGAGTGGGCGGAAATTGTTAAGGGGGTTATTGATGATAGGGAGAGGGATGTGGCGGTTGAGGTGTTGGATGTGAGTGGGTGGGCGATCAACGAGACGAGTGCTGATGTTGTTTCGAAGGGGAATGTGTGAGTCGTTTGTTCCTTTCCCTCCCAACCAACCTCAACCCCCCCGATTTTCAGGTCAAAGATGGAATAAAACAGGAAGGGAGCTGTTTTACTAACGAAAACCGATCCAGTTTCTGTCTCGGCGACGCCATCCACCGCCACCCACCTACCCTCGGTCTCGGCAGCAACACCTGTATCCAAGACGCCTTCAACCTCGCCTGGAAGCTCTCACTCGTGCACCGCAACCTCGCCGCGCCCACGCTGCTCTCAACCTACAACACGGAGCGGCAACCCGTGGCCGCGCACCTCGTCAAAGAGAGCAACGACATTCTCCGGCTCGACATTTCCATCTGGGCAAACATGGGCATGCAGCACTACGGGGCCTCCAAACAGGACCGTGACGCCGCCCAAGCACTCGTCAAATCCAACACGAAAGAGGGCCGCGAGAGACGCAAGGCCGTGGCGCAAGGCATGCGCGAATTGCACCGCGAGTTGCACTCTCTGGGCACGAGCATGGGCCAATTGTATCGAAGCGCTGCCGTCTACACGGCCGATGAACCTGCCCCCTTCGAGCCAGGTCCACGCGAAAAAGAGAACCCCTACGAGCACTACGAGCCATGTACGTACCCTGGGCGCCGCCTCCCGCACGTGTTGCTCGGCGCCGGGTCCAGGATGCCGGGCCCACTTACCAGCACGTTGGACATTGCGGGCAAGGGCCAGTTTAGCTTGTTTACGGGTATTGGGGGGGAAGGGTGGGTGGCTGCTGCGGCGGCTGTGGAGCAGCGGTTCGGCGTGCCGGTCAAGGTGGTGCGGGTGGGGCCGGGGCTGGACTGGGCGGACGTGTATCTGGAATGGGATGTCAAGCGCGGGGTGGAAGAGTATGGGTGTGTGCTTGTTCGGCCGGACTACTTCGTTGCGTGGAGGGCGCAGGAGTGTGGGGATGAAGTTGGGCGTTTGCTCAAGGTTATGGGGAGTATTCTCGGGATTGAGAATGGGAAAGACATGGTGGGGGATAAGGGCGTATAGAATAGGAAAGAAGCGGAGCGGAATGAGTACGTGGTGCTTTAGATGTGAACGCCGATTCTGGAGAAGAAGAAGAAAGAAAGAAAGAAAGAAAGAAAGAAAGAAAGAAAGAAAGAAAGAAAGAAAGAAAGAAAGAAAGAAAGAAAGAAAGAAAGAAAGAAAGAAAGAAA